CCAATCTGTGGAGAATCCCGCCAACTTTGGCCACTTCTGCAGTCGTTAAGCTGGGATCCATTTCAATGGTCCTCTTGACAGCCCTTTTTGTCCTCTCCAATGAACCAGGATGACCCGGACACTGCTCAGTTGTTTCCTTGCCGTATTTCCTGAACTGCACAATGATTCTGTTGACTGTCGAAAGCGAGATTCGCAAATTCTGCGAAATTTGCCACTGACTTATTCCACCATCTGCTTGATCCTTCCTCTAACAAAATCTGACAATTCGAGAAAACCTTGAGTTCTAAGCATGTTGTAGCACAAGATAATTAGTGTGCAGACCATTTTCATTTATATAGTGCTCTGTGAACACAAATTATTTAGCATAAATCAGTTAAATGACGAAAAATTAGGTGTCTATTTACTTGTGACCACTCAGTGTATAGTAAAAAAATTGGAGAGTAGTTTGAATTGAAATGAAAAAAGTTAAAGATAAAGGAGGTCAGACTGAAGGAATGAAAATAATGCATTTCGAAATTTAATTTCAAGAATGAAGATATGAAATAATGGCATAAGATAAAAGAAAAATATGTATCTATAATGATGGTTTAAAACAATGAGGATATCAGTAAGCTGTACAGAGAACTGGAAGGAACAAATTTTGGAAATACTAAGCAATGGAGGAGAGCTCATTCAGCTAGTGATTTGATACAAGAATTAACAAAGATTCAGGAAGAGGTGAAAACCAGGAGAAAGAAAAGAATTTCATGAGTAACAAATGCAAATTGTGTTATGAAACACCTATGCTCCCACTAATGTTATTCTGTGTATTTAAGTCCCCTCAATTTAATAAGACAGTACCTGTTAATGAGTTTAAATTTGAGCATATATATAAAGAAATGGTCTGAATAGTATGAACAGGTTGAATGATTAACTGCTTGGAATTGGACTTGTCTACGAGTTTCCTCACTGGAGAGTAAGACTCAGATACAGTATCGACGTTGAAGTCTCCTGTGATGTCGCTGTCAGTGGCAGATGTATCCTGCAGATAGTGCAGAATGAGCTGAAGGTCAGACAGAAATGCTTTCCGAGATGTTGCCGAAGAATGGTACAGTAAAACAATTCTGGTTGAGGAAGCAGATTTGTCAAGAACACTAATTACAAAATCTTTAGGTTGAGATGAGATGGCACGGAGAGTTCAGAGCTGGCTAGTGAATTATTAACATATTTTGGAATCTCACGGATCCTTTTTCTTGAATCTTGTTTTTCCATAAACAGTCTGAAGTTTGAAATATATGTAGTGTGCTAGTCTTGAGTGTGTTTTGTCATACGAGTTTCTGTGAAGGCTAGAATGTGTGAGTACTGTAAAACTGGATCTGAAAGTATATTTTTAAAGTGTAGGACCAGTTAACTGGAATGAAGGTGTGCAATCCCTATTGTCATATACACCAAAGGACTCATGCCATTTCTTCAATATCCTTTAGTGAGGTTTTCAAAAAACAATTATTTGAACATTGTTAGCAGTAATCTTGTGTCATTTTCTCTAACAATTTTAATGTTTTTAATTTTTTTAAAGATAGAAAGACCTGTAAATTGCAAGCAAATAATAAACAACACCCATAAAACAAAGGAAGTAGAGTTATAAACAGTGGCTATGTCTTTGACATTGACCTTTGACCCATTACCTTCAAAACTTAATCAGGTATAGAACATTGTGTGTAGTATGTGTTTTATATGTTTGGTCAATTTTATTTATCCTGTATTGAAATTATTATGTCCACAAGATGGGAAAGATTTTCTATGTGTGAAGTTTTGATCTTGACCTTTGATCTACGAGATTCAAGAGGTAATTAGGTCTTGAACTTTGTAAGTAGCACCTGTTGTATAAGTTCAGTCCAACTCGATCCTTCCAATTTTCATATATCTCGTCCATAAGATCAGGATGGACTGAAGACTGAAACGGAGCAAACCAACATGCCTCACTCTGCTTTGCAAAGCAGTAGGGGCATAAAATACAAGATTTTAAAGGGAAAAAGAGCTAAATGGAGAATGAAAAAAAAAGAGTTATGTCAGGAAATGTTCCCTCTAATTTTTTCAATCTATGTGCAGAATGAATTTTTTCATGTGCACCAGTATCAAGGCAATGTGTGCTACCAGTTTTTTTTTGGGGGGTGGGGGGGTGGGGAGTATTTTTAGACCATCAACCCTATTAAATCAGTAGGCTGCTTTGCAATGCTACAAGTTGGTTATTTGGGCTTCAGGCCTATTGACTAGCCTCTTCACCATTACAGAGGTAGTGTGTGGCTGAAATAATTAAGTGCACGGCATTTGATTGGTTGTTGTGTGGCCACGCATCTTAGAGGGAACAGTGATGTCAGGAGAATAGCATGTCTGCCCTAATGAAGCAACTTGACATTTTCGAGGAAATTTCATCAATTGCTTCAAGAGTTTTGAAATAGGTTGTTAACGAAGTAATATGAAGGTCTCACCAATTGCTTCAAGAGCTTTAAGTATTTAAAAGTACTTAGAGTAAGTATTTAAAGGTTTTAACGAAGTCATTTAAAGATTTCATCAATAGCTGTGGATATTTAAAAATACTTAGAATAAAAGCTTAACAGTTTCAATACAAGCAAGCAAGTTAAGATAGATATAAAAAGAAAAGGAAGGCGACAATGGGACGCCTGTGTTATGAAATAAGCCTTGAGAAATTAATAAACAAGAACTTGGTTATACAAGAGGCAACATTCAGAAGTAAGCAGCAAAACACGTGCATTACTTAAAATAAGCTTGAGAGGCGAGCCTGGGAATCAGTGACCCAGGGTCAATAGCAGAGTTAGTAAGAATTATTGCATCACAAACAGGATGTGAACACCAATACATGTGACAGTTTGATAAAGTGTTGGCCTCACTCTCTAAGCACTATGGATGTTACAGAAAAGTTTATATTTAGTGAATCATCTCAGCGCTTTGAAGCAGTATTAGTTACAGCACATGGGTGTAGCAGTACAAGTGAATAGCGGCGCTTTGAAGCAGTATTAGTTACAGTACATGGGTGTAGCAGTACAAGTGAATAGCGGTGCTTTGAAGCAGTATTAGTTACAGTACATGGGTGTAGCAGTACAAGTGAATAGCGGCGCTTTGAAGCAGTATTAGTTACAGCACATGGGTGTAGCAGTACAAGTGAATAGCGGCGCTTTGAAGCAGTATTAGTTACAGTACATGGGTGTAGCAGTACGAGTGAATAGCGGCGCTTT